GAAGATCCATAGGATACAGGTAGAGTAGGAATTCGGATCGAGATCTGAGCCTAAGTCGGGGCTGGAGTGAGAGTCGAAATCGGGATCGAGGTCTGAATCATAGATAAATTCGAGGTTGTGGTCATCATCGGAGTTGGGGTCGAGGTCGTCTTCTTAGTCGGGGTCAGGGTCGTCATCGTCATAGTCGAGGTCGGGGTTGGGGTCGTCAAAATAGGATCCTGATTCCGGATCGGGTTCGGGGTCATCAAAATTGGATCCTGATTCAGGATCAAATTCGGGGCCAAAGTCTGCATCTGTAGGAGCTGAGCCATTTGGGCACTCAACTCAGCTATGATTGGTTGAGAAGGAGAGAATGAGTCGGTGGTGCTACCTCCATGAGGGTTGAAAAAATCATCAACCCCCATAGCGGCTGCGGGGGTTTGAAACTAGAGTCAGTAATTCCAAGATCGCCGCTCTGATACCGTGCTATAATGTGAAAACTATGAGAGAATATTTGTTTGTGAGAAATTTCTATGTATTCTTCTCCTTGTAGGAGGTCATATTTATAATACAACAAAACCTGAATGGGCAAGTAAATAATAAATTCCTAAATCTATTTACAGTAGGAAATCAGGAATTAAAGTAAATCAATTATAAATAAAATAGGAATCCTTGGTGTGTAAGAAAAGTACGTCAATATCCACAAGTCACGCCAACATGATTTGAGTGTTATGACAAACTAATGTTTCACGTGATAACACTACATAATAAAATTAGCCTACGGATTATTGACTAATGCTATTTGAATAAGATCGCGAGATTTGACTTCAAGACAAAAAAATAATCCCTAAGTGCGTAATTTTCTTCATTGCCTCCATAATTGATCATTATTTTATCATCATTTAAACATATGATTGTTGAAACCATTATTTGTTATAACTAAAATTACTAAGTCTTACCTCTATAAATTCCATAGATGGGATGGGAGAGCCTTCATGAAAGTGTGGAAGTGTTTTGAATATTCAGAAACATGGTGAAATCAATGTCAGCTATACTAGTATTGGTGCTGCACCTTTTTGTTCTTCATCTTCAATATTCAGAGGTTCATTCGCTTGCCAATACCTCTGCTCATGGTAAACTACTTCGCCCGTGATTCATAAAAAGAAAACAAAAAGGCAAATAGAACAGAAACTTTTACGTAGATGCATGTGATAAAGTTTTAACAACTCTTCCTCTCTTCTCATTTTGCAGATTTTAGCTACTTGGAATTTGTTTACGATGCCATTGACACAGAGTTGGAAGGAACATACGACTACATTATTGTTGGTGGAGGAACAGCAGGGTGTCCATTGGCAGCAACTTTGTCAGCAAACTACTCGGTGCTTGTTCTGGAACGGGGCACTCTTCCTACAGAATATCCAAACCTGTTGACTTCAGATGGGTTTATATATAATCTGCAGCAAGAAGATGATGGACAGACACCAGTCGAAAGGTTCGTGTCTGGAGATGGTATTGACAATGTAAGAGGGAGGGTCCTCGGTGGCACGAGCATGATCAATGCCGGGGTCTACGTAAGAGCTAACACCTCGTTCTTTAATCAAACAGGGATTGAATGGGACATGGATCTGGTTAATAAGACATATGACTGGGTTGAAGACACTATTGTGTTCAAGCCGGATTTCCAATTTTGGCAAAATCTTACAGGAACTGCATTCTTGGAGATTGGTATTCTTCCAGACAATGGATTTAGTTTGGATCACATTGAAGGAACTAGACTCACCGGCTCAACTTTCGACAACAACGGAACCAGACATGCATCTGATGAACTGCTTAATAAAGGAGACCCAAACAACCTGCGAGTTGCAGTTCATGCCGCAGTAGAGAAGATCATCTTCTCTTCCAATTCATCAGGTATGCTTCCAAAGTTAACGTTTTATTATTTTGAAACATTACCAGCAGGATAGTCATATCAAATACTGAATGTGCAAATAATGTTTCCTATTTTCTTCCGAGTTGTTTGATAATAATGATATGCTCTTATATATCTAATACAGGTGTGACAGCTATAGGAGTTATATATACTGATTCGAACGGAACGACTCATCAGGCATTTGTACGTGGTGAGGGAGAAGTTATATTGAGTGCAGGGCCAATTGGGTCCCCCCAACTTCTACTACTTAGTGGTGTTGGCCCAGAGTCTTACCTAACATCTCTCAACATTTCAGTTGTTGCTTCCCATCCATATGTCGGGCAGTATATATATGACAATCCTCGTAATTTCATTAACATTTTGCCCCCAAATCCAATAGAACCCTCAACTGTGACCGTTCTAGGCATTACAAGCGACTTCTACCAATGTTCTCTATCAAGCTTGCCATTTTCTATTGCACCCTTTAGTTTTTTTCCTAATCCAACTTATCCCCTGCCAAATACGACTTTCGCTCACATTGTTAACAAAGTTCCGGGACCATTATCTCATGGTACTGTCACGTTGCAATCAACCTCTGATGTGCGAGTCGCTCCAAATGTCACATTCAACTACTATTCGAATTCAACGGACCTTGCTCATTGTGTTAGCGGCATGAAGAAGATTGGTGAATTCTTGAGCTCAGACGCATTAAAACCATATAAAGTGGAAGATTTGCCGGGCATAGATGGTTTTGATATTTTGGGAATACCTTTGCCAGAGAACCAGACAGATGATGCAGCCTTCGAAACATTTTGCCAAGAGGCAGTAGCGTCATATTGGCATTACCATGGTGGATGCCTTGTCGGGGAGGTGCTTGATGATGATTTCCGTGTTACAGGGATCAACGCATTACGCGTTGTTGATGGCTCCACATTCCCTTCCACACCAGCGAGCCATCCACAGGGCTTCTATCTGATGTTAGGGAGGTATGTTATACACATGTTACTTGTAACCACTAGAACTTGTCAATTATATATTTGGCTTGAATGTCTTGTTTTGTAATATTAATTCTACGTTGTTCTCTTTTTTATCAATTTCAATTTTGTACTTTGGGCAGGTACGTGGGCTCTAAAATTCTGCAAGAAAGATTAGCTTCAGAGGAGGCTCTTCCATAAGTCAACATTCGAACCCAAAATCTTGGAGTCGCTTGAGTCAACATTATCCTTTGCTTTTGATACTTAGTTGATAAACCCATGAGTTCTGACTCAAGTGGGATTAGACTTAGGCTCTTTCTATCAACCATGGCTTGGTGTACCTCTTTATTTCATGTTTAATAAATTTTCCTTTGTGATGTCCTAGTTATTATTGTGTACAACTTGTCCTCGCAAGACCTGAGTTTTTTTTTTTTTTTTTTATTTATTTTTTTTTAAATGTCGGTTATGGGATCAAAAGACAATGGCGCGTTCAAAATGCAAGAAATTTTCCCTATAAATTGATTAATAACTTGATCGAAATGCCCCTAGTCTTTGTCTTATGAAGCCACTGTATTTCCAACTCTGCGCAGGCATTTTTTTATTATATATTTTTGGTAATAACAAGCGTTAAGTGTTTTAACAATAATTAAGCATTATGATTGTGAAGCCCTGTATTTTAAAATTATATATATATATATATATATATTAATATTTTGGGAAATTAAATATTTTGCTATCTATTTAGGTTTATAAGTTAAATTATGTTTAATTCATTTTTTATGTATATTTTGGTTATAATTGTATATATGTAGTTACCTTGCCACATAGTATGTATATACAGTTGTTACTTCTATAATAATTATTAAGAGTAATACTATTATAATAATATTTATGTGTTTGTTATATAATTGGATTTGTAAGGGGGGGCACGCACAAGCTTTATTACTTAAGGTGGTATTTACATCAAATCTTACCTATATGCACCACACTAGTTTCTTCACAAGTGTCTACCTAGATGACTAAGCCTTTATTTAAAGCATGAGCTGTTAGCATCAAGGGAAAATTGGGTAATCTTGGAGTCAAGCATATCACCAGCCTCACATTCCACCAATCAAAAGCCATTAGTTGCCGCCTCTTTGTAGTATAAATAGACCTCTTCGATGGTTCTTTTGAAATACACATATTAGTTAGTCTTGTGAAGTAGTGCAATACTAAAACAACTTAGAGATAGCATGCACTCCATACAAAGTGATAGATCTTTTAGAGAGAGAGAGGGGGAGGGAGTGGTGACGAAACTCTAGGAACTTGGCTTGCGTGGTAGTACATGGAGATAGGTAGATATGTTGTCTTGTCAATTTATTTTATGGATTCTCATTATCAAGGTGAGTGGTTTATGTAATGTGTTCTAAAAGTTCTTATTTTGTGATCAAATATGAAAACCATGAATTTTCGTGGATTTGTTCTATTTACAAATATCTCTCTATTTCAAGTCAAGTATGTCTAATTTGCTACAATCTTTCACACTATATATATATTGATTGGAATATTTATGAAGTATGTATTATTCATGGAATATGAATTAATTTGGAAATAGTATTGTGTGTTTCCACTCGGTGCCATAGCAAAGGGCAATTACTATTTATTTTTTTTGTTTTTTTCGCAAATTTTTTTACCTCAATAATTAATTTGGATAATATTTTCGGATAAGATTTCCGGGTTCCTATGTATCAAGACTATTCATAATCGGATAAAATTTCTGTATAAGATTTTTGGGTTCAAATTTTGGATGAATTTCAAAATTCAAAATTCAGATAAATTTTTGGGTTCAAATTTAGATATATTTCAAATTTCAAATAAAATTTTCATCCAATCAAATCAAGCCACGTGGCATCTCTATCTTGCCAAAATTTTCTATAAAACCATAGGCTCAGCTCATACCTCTCACACTACATCTTTCTATATTTCCATTTCTCAGAGTTTAGAATTCATACTCCATTCATTCTCAATGGAAGAATTTAGGAGTTGTTTGGAGATCAGGCAAGAGCGAGAAACAAATGAGAGAAACCGTAGAGCAGATGAAATAAATATGTTGTAAAGAGAAGTCGATGAACAAGTTGTCATAGTAGTGGCTTTGCAAGATGAAGAGAACCAAGGTCGCCGCCATGGTTCACAAGTCAACCATCGCCAGAATGTGGACAGACATAGACATTATCAGGGTAAGAATCTTTTGGAAGATTATTTTATCTCAATTTCTTTGTACTCTGATGTTTATTTTCGAAGGAGATTTAGAATGCAACCTCATTTGTTCAATAAAGTCATGCATGATATTTGCAATTATGATGCATACTTTGTTCAAAAGTGTGATGCTGTTGGGGTTTTGGGACTTTTTCCGGAGCAAAAGCTTACAGCTGTTATACGAATGTTGACGTATGAAGCATCTGCGAATCAGGTTGATGAGATTACCCGGATGGGGAAGTCCACTACGTTGGAGGCTTTGGTAAGATTTTGTGTTCCAGTTGAAACTCTGTACACTAGGAACTACCTGGGTAGACCTACTCCCAAGAACCTCCAACGGCTTCTACAAAAAGCCGAAGCTCAAGGATTTCCAGGAATGATTGGTAGCATTGACTGCATACATTGGCAATCACTAATAAAAAATACCCTTGCGCGACCAAATTTTGCGTGACGAAAAATTATTCGTCGCTCAAAGTCACTTTACGCGACGAAACTCAAAACTTCATCGCTCAAAACCTTGCGCGACAAAATTTTGCGTGACGACTTTGCGAGACCAAATTTTGCGCGACGAAAAACTATTCGTCGCTCAAAGTCACTTTGCTCGACGAAAAACAATTCGTCACGCAAAGCGACTTTGAGTGACAAAACAATAAACTTCGTCGCGCAAAGTCCTTATAAAAATTTATAAAATAAAAAATTCTTTTTAAAAACATTTGCATGGCGTAATCCAAACATTTCGTCGCCTAAACCAATTTATTTTTGTTTTTTATTTTGTATGCATAACACTTAAGAAATTAAACAGTATATATATTTTTATTAAGTAGCTTTAAATTTATTATTTTAGATCGGATCAGATTTTTGTTAGAAAAATGTTAAATATAACATAAGATTTTGTGGTATCTACTAGTGTAAATATTTTAAATTGAAGATCAAATTTAGTCATTGTATTCATATAGGGTCAAAGAGTGTAGCTGTAAAAATCATCAAAATCGGAGTTAAAATAACCGTTTAATCGTGATTTTTCATTTATAACCGTCGAAAAGTTTTGTCCCATTACTTGATCTCTGAATGTTTTTTTTTTCTTCAATTTTTGGCGTATATGATCTCGAAGTATAAACAAACAAGTTTGACGGTTGGATCATTGAAACTAGTTTCGTACAATGCGTATGCCATGAAAACAATATATTCACTAACAATTAAGAGTTTATTTATACTTTTGTTAAATATAACATAAGATTTTGTGGTATCCACTAGTGTAAATATTTTAAATTGAAGATCAAATTCAGTCATTGTATTCATATAGGGTAAAGGAGTGTAGAGGTAAAAAATCATTAAAATCGGAGTTAAAATAACCTTTAAATCATGATTTTTCATTTATAACCGTCGAAAAGTTTTGTCTCGTTACTTGATCTCTAAACGTTTATTTTTTTTTATTTTTGACGTATATGATCTCAAAGTATAAACAAACAAATTTGACAGTTGGATCGTTGAAACTAGTTTCGTAGAATGCGTATGACATCAAAACAATATATTCACTAACAATTAAGAGCTTATTTATACTTTTGTTAAATATAACATAAGATTTTATGGTATCCACTAGTGTAAATATTTTAAATTGACGATCGAATTAGTTCATTGTATTCATATAGGATCAAGGAGTGTAGGTGTAAAAAATCATCAAAATCGGAGTTAAAATAACCGTTAAATCGTGATTTTTCATTTATAACCGTTGAAATTTTTTCTTATGTTACTAGGTCTCTGAATGTTTGTTTTTTGCGATTTTTGGGGTATACGATCTTGAAGTATATACAAACAAGTCTAACGGTTGGATCGTTGAATGGTGTGTGTATATATATATTTATTTACTTATTAAGTAGCTTTAAATTTATTTATTTTGTACGTATAACAATTAAGAAATTGAACAGTATATACATTTATTAAGTGGCTTTAACCTTATTTATATTTTAAATCATAAAATAAAAAAAAATTTTATTTTTTATTTATCCATAGCAATTATTTTTATAAATATCGTGCTACAAACCAATTTTTCGTCTCTCAAAAGTTTGGGTGACCAATAGTTCGTCGCGCAAAACTCTAAAAATTTAGGGGGGGTACCAAAAATGGGATGCGGGATTTTTTTTTTTTTAAACAATTTAGACTTTGCGCGACCAATATATATTTTTCGTCGCGCAAAAATTTGGGCGGGTACCAAAAATGGGACGTGGGAAGTTTTTTAGACTTTGCGTGACCAATATGTATTTTTCGTCGCGCAAAAATTTCAAAATTTGGGCGGGTACCAAAAATGGGACGTGGGATTTTTTTTTTTTTTTTACTTTGCGCGACCAATATTTTGTGTCGCTCAAAACTTTGCGTGACCAATATATATTTTTCGTCGCGCAAAAATTTGGGCAGGTACCAAAAATAGGATGTGGGAATTTTTTTATATAATTTTTTTAGACTTACATTCACTCCTCTCACTTAATCTATCATCATCTCTCTCTTCACTATCTCTCACTCTCACTCACTCTCTCATCTCTCTTTTCACTATCTCTCACTCTCACTCTCTCTCTCATCTCTCTATCACTATCTTCTCTAATTCTCTCACACTCACTTCTCTCTCTCATTCTCACTCACTTTCAATCTTGCCAAAAGGTATATTCTCTCCAAATTTTAAATTTTTTTCATTAATATGTCTTTTTGGAGTTAGTTTTGAGTTTGTGTGGGGTTGGGGTTGAGTAAAGGGGAGGGATTGGAGTTTGGGTTGGATTTGTGGTATAACAATTTCAGGGCAGATTATCTTTTCTTTTCTTTTTTGTAGGGAATTTGATCACTATTTTTCATATGTAATTTTATTTTGAATATGTCAATTTAAATTAAAGTAATTAAAAAATATCATACAATTAAATTAAATTTAAAAAGTAAAAATTTGAATAAATTAATATCAATTTAAATTAAAGTAAAGAAAAAAATCATACAATTAAATTAAATTTTAAAAATAAAAATTCGAAATAATTAATATTAAAGAAATAATAAAACAAAAAGTCAAAAACCAAAATATTTCGTCGCGGAAATATTTGCACGACATTAGTATTCGTTGCGCAAAACTCTAAAAATTTGGGTGGGTATAAAAAATGGGACGCGTGAAATTTTTTTTTAAATTTTTTCGTCACGCAAAACTTTGCGCGACCAATGAAAAAACTTCATCGCGCAAAGTCTTTCTTCAAGATCTTTGCGCGACGAAGTTTCTGTCGCGCTGAAATTTGTGCGACTACAATGTATTTTGCGCGACGAAATTCTCTTCGTCGCGCAAAGTGTAAAATGTAGTAGTGAATGGAAGAACTGCCCAACTGTTTTGCAAGGTGATTACGGAAATAGAAAATGCCAAAAAAGTATCATCCTTGAAGCCGTTGCTGGCTTCGACATATGGGTTTGGCATGCCTTCTTCGGAGTTCCCGGATCCCAAAATGACCTCAACGTACTGGGTCAATCCCCAGTCTTCAACGATGTTTTGAGAGGCCAAGGCCCTGATATCACCTATCAAGTCAACAATACAGTCTACCAGACGGGGTATTATCTAGCTGACGACATCTACCCGAGGTGGACCACATTTGTCAAATCCATTCCGAATCTCCGATCCCAAAAGCAAAAATTATTTGCTACCTATCAAGAAGGATACAGGAAAGATGTCAAAATGTGTTTTGGCATTCTTCAAGCTCGGTGGTTGATTATTCGAGGTGCGGTCAGTATGTTTGATAAGGAGATCCTCAGAAGCATTATGATTACTTGCATCATCCTACAGAATATGATTGTGTATGAGTACGATTATGATGATGTAGAGGTCTACGAACCAGATCTCATGAACACAGTCTTGACACGAATTTATGAAAGACCCATGGGGCCAAGTGGAGAACCGTTTGAGCCGGAATCGTTGGTGAGGGATGGTCGTTTCATGACCCGAATAATAGATCGATATACAGAGATGCAATCTTCGTATATTCATGAAATGCGTCAACTTGACTTGATTGAGCATTTATGGGTGGTGAAAGGCAATGAAGATGAATGATGGAGCATAAATGCTTTTGTTATGTTTTATTTAGTTATGGTTTGGTTATGTTGTTTTTTATTTATTATGGTTTGGTTGTGGTTTGTTATTATTATTGTGCCTTGTTTGTAGTTTTTTATTTTGTTTTAATTATGTTTTGTTTGACGTATGGAATATGTTGAATAAAAAGGTATTTTATTGAATGCTTTCTTTATTAAATAAAGAAATCCAATACAAGTCATTAAGAATTACTACTACTAAAATAAAATACATGAATTACAACAACTTTAATAGAAAACATGAAAAATACAAATACATAAAAGGTATGCCAACTAATTTAATGGTTTTCATCATTTAACCAATCCGTGTTGCTAGGTCCATTATCCTGGAAAAGTCTTCTTCTCATAACATCCCTTCTTCTAGCTTCCAAAATTGTTTTGTTTCAGGGGACATATGGCTTGTATCCATCGCCATGGTTTCCCGATCCGTCTTGTATATCTCTTTTTTGCGCAAATACTCTCTTTCTTGTGCATACTCGGCTCGAATTGCCATCTCGTTCTCTTGGCGTTTCTGCTCCATTTAAATTATGGTTTGGTTCTGCCTTGCAATTTCCTCCAAATTTTTTGATGTATTATTGCTCGAATTACCCGTTTTCCTTGCCTTCGCAGCCTTTCGGCCAATGGGCCTCGGCTCCTTTTCGATGGGTGAGTCTTGACTCATAGGGGAATTGATAGGTGAATCTGATGTCATTGAATCACAGAGTGGCGTCTCGTTTAACATAACGGCGGGACCCTTGGGAATAATTCTAAAGCATTTGTAATTTTTCACCACCTCCCAACATTCAGGATGGTTGAAACTTTTTTTACCTTGCCCAGTTGCACCAAACCACATATGTACTTGAATCATCTATTTTAAAAAAAAAATGGAAATGAAACAAAAATAAAAAATTGGAAATGCAATTAACCTTACAAATAAATTGGAAGTGCAAGAAATATTAAGAAACAATTGGAAATGCAAGAAATATTAACAAAATATTGAAAATACAATAAATATTAAGGAAATATTTAAAATGTAATAAATATTAACAAAATATTGAAAATGCAATAAATATTAACAAAATATATATATTAGGACATTAAACTTAATAAAACGAAAATTACAAAATACTTATCTCGTTACTACGATTTTCCCCGCTTCTATAGTTGTCCATCGCTTTTCCAAGACATCTCTCCATTTTCCCAACTATTTATTGAGAATTTTTCACTTACTGGACAATGTCATTTCCGTACAAGTAGACCCCGGAATTTTTTCAGAAAATTTGGCATGAATTTTTTCCCACATATGAAAAAATTTCATCTCATTGCCTGACATGAGACAATGAAAAACTTGGAGCCAAGCCTCAGACAAGGAAACATTTTCCATGGTGCTCCACGCCCCTCTGGTTTCGATAGAAGAAGCCATAAAGATAAGAAATAAAAATACAAGGTGAAAGGGAGGAAAATGTTGAGTAAAGAGTGAATAATACTAGAAGTAGAATAAAATGTATGAGGATTGGTGTTGAAAGTGAAGGGTATTGATAGGTATTTATAGAAGAAAAAAAATCAGAATTTTTTAGTTTTTTTATAAAATAAATTTCAATTTTTTTCCATAATTTTATTGCCAAAAAAATGCCAACCGTTGGATTGGAGGAGGAGAAGCAGATCGGAGCGCTGAGGGCGTGACACCTGTCTTCTACCCGTTAGAGCTTGCGTAGGGTTGACGTTCCCGCACGCTTGTTTAAATTTTTTAAATCACGCGATGACGTCGCGCCTGGCATCATCAACCCTCGAGCTCGAGCTAGGGCTAAACTGGCCTTCGGGCCAGCACGTCTTCGTGGGACCCGCTCCCAACCCGGGCTTGGGTTCCTCGCTAGAGATGGATTTTGGCTTTTTGTTTTCCCCAGCCCGAGGCGTGGTCATACCGCTAGAGTTGCTCTAATGGGTACATATGTTATTTCTATATGGAGCTAAGACATTGCAAATATATTGTAAAAACAATTTTCCTCCTTTGCACGGAAATAGAGATGTGTTTGTCATTTGGAGCTTCCTGCATGTGTAATACAGGTGTCAAGCTCGATAGAACAAGTACAACCCCCGAATATGTTGTTAAAGTATTTTTTTTTTTTTTTTATCTAAATCTTATTATATCTACTTTAAAATATTATTTTATAGAATTAATGTACTCACTTCGAATTATATGTGTATTATTGAAATCGAGTGACTTAAATGAGATAACACATGAAAATAATGCGTTCATTTCGACACAACAAATCCCTAGGTACTCGGGAAAATCTTCATATTTCAGAAACATATGCCTCCATGTGCATTATTTTGTCATCATTTTATCATGTGATTGTTGAAATCATTATTTTAACTCAACTTACTAAGCCTTACCCTCTATAAATTACATAGAAGGGTGCCTTCATCAAAGTGCGAAGTGTTCCGAAGTTTCAGAAACATGGTGAAATCAAGGTCAGCTATGCTATTGGTGTTGCATCTTTTTGTCCTTCATCTTCAATATTCAGAGGTTCAGTCGCTTGCCAATACTTCTTCTCATGGTAAACTACTTCCTCCCTAATTCATAAAAAGAAAGGAAAAAAAGGCAAATGAAAAAGAAAACAGAAAAAAGTGTGTAAGAAACATGCTTTGTGTACGTGGATGCACAGCAAGAAGATGATGGAAGACTTTTCTGTTATACATTTTTTTCGCTTACGTAGATGCATGTGCTATACTTTTAAAATCTCTTCGTGTCTTGACATTTTCCAGATTTTAGTTACCTGAGCTTTGTGTACGACGCCACGGATCCAGAATTGGAAGGATCATATGACTACATTATAGTTGGAGGAGGAACAGCAGGATGTCCATTGGCAGCAACTTTATCAGCAAACTACTCAGTGCTTGTTCTAGAAAGGGGCACTCTTCCTACAGAATATCCAAACCTCTTGATATCAGATGGGTTTGTATATAATCTCCAGCAAGAAGATGATGGAAAGACACCAGTCGAAAGGTTCGTGTCGGAAGATGGTATTGATAACGTACGGGGCAGGGTGCTCGGTGGCACAAGCATGATCAATGCCGGTGTCTACGCCAGAGCTAACACCTCATTCTTTAATCAGACAGGAATTGAATGGGACATGGATTTGGTTAATCAGACATATGAGTGGGTTGAAGACACTATTGTGTTCGAGCCAGATTCACAAACATGGCAAACTGTTATAGGAACTGCATACTTAGAGGCCGGCATTCTTCCAAACAATGGATTTAGTGTGGATCACCTAGCAGGAACACGACTCACGGGCTCAACGTTTGACAATAACGGAACCAGACATGCATCTGATGAACTTCTTAATAAGGGAGACCCAAACAACTTGCGAGTTGCAGTTCAAGCAGCAGTTGAGAAGATCATCTTCTCTTCCAACACATCAGGTATGTTTCTTTCTGTGTTAATTTGTCATTCTGCACTCCTAAATTAATATGTATTATTTAAATCATTAATATGAAGTTATTCATTAATGCAGGTGTGACAGCTATAGGAGTAATATATACTGATTCGAATGGAACGACTCATCAGGCATTCGTACGTGGTGAGGGAGAAGTTATATTGAGTGCAGGACCAATTGGGTCCCCTCAACTTCTACTACTTAGTGGTGTTGGCCCAGAGGCTTACCTAACATCTCTCAACATTTCAGTTGTTGCTTCACATCCATACGTCGGGCAGTATATATACGACAATCCTCGTAATTTCATTAACATTTTGCCCCCAAATCCAATAGAAGCTTCAACTGTAACTGTTCTAGGCATTACAAGTGATTTCTACCAATGTTCTCTCTCGAGCTTGCCATTTGATACTCCACCCTTTAGTTTTTTCCCTACTACATCTTATCCCCTGCCAAATCAGACTTTCGCTCACATTGTAAACAAAGTTCCAGGACCTTTATCTCATGGTACTGTCACGCTGAATTCATCCTCTAATGTGAGAGTCGGTCCAAATGTGAAATTCAACTACTATTCGAATTCGACAGACCTTTCTCATTGTGTTAGCGGCATGAAGAAGCTTGGTGAGGTCTTAAGTACAGACGCATTGGAACCATATAAAGTTGAAGATTTACCCGGTATAGACGGTTTTAATATTTTAGGAATACCTTTGCCAGAAAACCAAACAGATGATGCAGCCTTCGAAACATTTTGCCGAGATTCAGTAGCCTCATATTGGCATTACCATGGTGGATGCCTTGTTGGCAAGGTGCTCGATGATGATTTCCGTGTTACAGGGATCAATGCATTGCGCGTTGTTGATGGCTCCACATTCCCTTCCACACCAGCGAGCCACCCTCAGGGTTTCTATCTGATGTTAGGCAGGTATGTGTACAGACTTACTTGCTAAAACTAGAAAGTCTCACTAATTTATTTGGGTTAATGACTTGTTTTTTATCAACTCTGTTCCATATTGCTCATTTTCATCCCTTTCAATTTGTGTGCTTTGCCGCAGGTATATGGGCATTCAAATTCTGCAAGAAAGATCAGCTTCTGAGGATGCTATTCATAATTTAGGATTCCAAGAGAATATCTTGGATTTACATAAGTCAACATCATCCTTCGCTTTTTAAATTTGATTGATAAACCTGAAATCTTGGATTTACGTAAGTTATCATTTTCCTTTACTTTTTAGACTTAATTAATAAACCCATGAGTTCTGTCTCAATTGGGATTAGGGTTCGGCGGGCAAACGGGCTTAGTCTCTTTCCATCCGCCATGGCTAGGGTGTATCTCTTTATGTCATATGTAATAAGTTTTCCTTGTAATGTCGTGATTATCTAAAAAATAAATAAAATAAGAATATCATTTCCTAGAACTTGCCGTTGCAAAACCTGTTTCAAAGGAAATGATGCCCTAAAGCTTATATACCATCCATCGATGTTCTATTATTTTTTTTTCAAAGCCAAGCCAATCACCCACTCCTTAAACATGCAGTGGGTCATCCCAAGCCAACAATAAACTTTCAACCAAAGCCGAGCGTTTTCAAAAACCATTATTTTCACCCATGGAAACCATCCATGGGTGCCTTGGAACCTCTTGGCACGTATATTGCTTTTGAGCGTTGGACACTTCTTTGCTGCCTTAGAAAATTTTTGGGTTTGGGCAGGGACTTTACGGGCTTTTTTAGTTTTTGAGTCGGGTTGAGCTTTGTCTCATCGGGCCTCAGGCTACCTAGTTCAGACTGCGGGCCAAATGATGATCTCTACTTAGAACCACTTGGCACCGTTTCTTTTTAAAGAAAGAGGTTTAATTATTGTTTTAGCCCTATGAATGGGCGCTCAATCTCACTTTAACCCTTATAACTGAAAATTTCTCATTTAACTCCCAAAGTCTCTAAAAATTGCTACAATTTTCTCAGTTTATCAATTCCGTCTGTTTCCATATATAAAACCGTTAAGTGTGCTGACATGGCATGAACATTTTACTAAGAGATTTTCTATTTAAACCCCGCACTTCTCTTTGTTCACCCCAATACTTAAATCATTAAGCTGTAAGTTTTATTATTGTGTAAAAAGACAAAAAAGGTCATCGAACTTAATAATTAACCCTAGTGCACACACCCTACACACTCCACCACTCTTCATATTAAGTTTTAGAAATCTCCTTCCAACTTCCTGTTTACAAACTCTCTCTCTCTCTCTCTCTCTCTCTCTCTCTCAAGTTCTCAACTCAACAATACCCCAAGTGTTAGATATTAAATTTCGGATTTAGGGTTTCATTTGTTTGTGTTTTTTTTGGTTGGGAACAAAGAAAATTGTGGGGTTTAAATAGAAAATCTCTTTTAATTCTTATTTTTTCAGTTTGGGGTGTATTTAAGGGTATGTTGGGAAGATAGTGGGGTTTTCTTAGAAATTGTGAAAATTTAAATTAAAAGTTGGGGTGAACTTAGAACATGAGGTGAACTAAGAGAAGTGTGGGGTTTAAATAGAAAATCTCTTTTACTAATGTTAGTTACCTATTTGAAAGTTTTAAATCCAAATTAAATATTAAAAAATATATTTTAAATATTTTAAACTTTTTTTAGGGTTAACAAAACAGACCCATCTCTCCCCCACCCCAGATCACCCTCATCCCTCCCAACCCAGGCTGAAAAACTCCAGCAATACACAAACACAAATGATAACAATATTAATAAAATAAATAACAATTTTTATACGTCCGGTCGAAAAAAAAAATAACATAGATGATGTATCAACATATGGGTCTATTTTATTTCCATTTTTTTATAGCTCAATTTGTGAGGTTCTTCATTGGGGTGTTGTGTTCCCTTAGTTTTTAATATAGGTTTTGCAAATTGGATGATTTTCATGTGATTTTGTTTGATTCTGTGATGTATAGCGTATTTTCTTTCGGCTGTTTGATTTGGATATGCATCTTTTTGTTAATCGTATTATTAGGCATGGGTGGGGGCTACTGGATTTGGGTGATGGTGGCTAACGATGATTGGGAGCATAGTTTAAAATATCGATAATATCGACGAAATATAGAAGATATTATTGTTTTTTCGGATCACATATATTTTGGAACAAATCCCTACACATATTGTATATATATCGATAATATTGGAAAATATCGATGTCGATAATTTCACTCACACTTCAACAATATGTGAAGACCCGTATTTTTAAAAAATATATGAAGAATAAATATTTTGCTGCCTATTTAGTTATATATTTAAATTGATTATATATACAGTTGTTTTACCATTTTAATAATTATATGTATTTTATTATATTAAATATGTATATAAGAAGCATGAGGTGGATAACATAATTAAGCTGGAGGTGGCACTATTTCCTTGGTTGCTTAAGGGACGTGTAAACAGAGGCGGAGCCACAGTGGGGTCGTCGGGGGCGGACGACCTCCTGGAAGCCCTGGAAATAGCCTTG